GACCTGAGTTCGGTTCCCGGGCATGCTTTTTCTGCTTGGGAGGTGATAGCTGTGACTACAGGTATCTACACAGTTGCGTCCATCACTCTGAGATTGACAGATGGTTGGGGATCCCCTGATTTTGAGGGGGGATAATTGTCATTCATGTGCAAGCAAACAAGGGCAACTGCAGTTTTTTTGGATTTTGTGTCAAATTACCTCTTGCTGCATATATTCTGTATGGAGTCTCCTATACAGGGTTTGGCGTATTTAACTTCTGATGGGCATGTTTGTCTGTCTACAGGGCCCACCCAGCAACCTGCAGCTGCTGTGGACAACACCACATGCTTTCCCCACCACACATCAGCACGCAGAGTCAGTGGAAGATTAAAGCAGTAGTAAGGTGTGTGGCAAAAAACTGCATTCTAAGTTCCACATCACAGTCATTGCAGTTCATGATGGTCTGACAAAGGTGCTACTGTATGCCCCTGCCTGATTTTTGCTGCATACAGGCTCACAAGCTGCTTGTGGAGGACTGCTGCTGCAGCAATGTCTTGTAGTGTCAACTAACGGCGATAGAGGACTAATACTAGGCATGACTACCAGAAGGTGTTAGGGTGGATAGTGCATGTGACCTATGATGTAGCATGTTTTGAGGCAAATTTTATTGAGAGATGGATGAGCTGCAGCTGGGTGCACCCAATATGAAACTGTTTGGAGCTGTTTCGAAGCTTCTGCTGCAGCAGCTGCTGCATACAGGCTCACAAGCCGCTTGTGGAGAAGCTACTGCTAGCAGCAGCGCTGCTGCACTGTACAGTCACTGTACAGACTTGTCTCGGAGTGTTAACTGACGGTGATGGAGGACTTCTTCTAGGCATGAATACCAGAAAGTGTAAGGGTGGATAGAGCGCTTCTGAGCTATAATGTAGCATGTTTTGAGGCAAATTGTTGACAGATCGATGAGCTGCAGCTGCAGCAGCCGCTGTTGTGGAAATGTTTGGTGCTGTTTGGAAGCTGCAGATTGTTTGGAAGCTGCAGCTGCAGCAGCTGCTTCAGCTGAAGCAGGCAATGCATATGGCTTGATGTTGTTACATAGCAGGACTTAAGTCCCAAGCTTGAATTTCGTATGCATGTAGCTGCTGCTAGGCGACGTGTATATGTAAAATTATGAATCCACGCATACATCCCTA